TGGACCTTATAAGAGATAGACCAACCCAGTGGGCGGGGCATGTCACCGACATGTCGACAAGAAAGAGTAGGGACGATCTGGTTTACTTTAACACTGAAACCTATGGCGTTTGTATCACATCACTCTTTTTAAATATTAAATGTGATACGTTGTATAGTGATGAGATTATGAAAGCCACAGTTTTTTTCCAAATAGGAATTAATATATCTCATTAAAGCACTTTTTACTGAATTTCGAGCATTTTTTTCATGCGCAATTCTTGTACAAACATCTTTACTTTGATAAAACGGTAAAAACTCTAAGCACAAAAGTTATGAAATTAATTTTGCGTAAAAATAAAGTAAAATTAAATAAGATTGATAGTACGTGATGCTTTGAAATAAATAAGGTAAAATTAAACAAGATCTGACAATATTTTTTTAAAATTTAATGAACATTTTCAGGCAGTTATTTTCCAAACTATAATAACATTACAAAACGATCATATTTATTTGATTATATAATCATTAAATTATTAACATTGAAGTGGATTAATTATTTTAATAATTCATAAAATTCGGAGCATAGAATTTTCTGAGAGTAATGAAGGGGAAAAAAAGATCAAATAAAATCTAGAAGCACTCAGATTTTATATTACGCCCAAAAGGAACCTTTTTTTTAAAGTTTTGTGTGTTACCTATATTTCTTGAATATCATGTTCTTCGCCCGTAAATCCGCCCATCGCCATTTGAAAACAGCATATCTTTAGAATTTCCACACTGGAGATAAAGCTCTTATTTTCCGTACAGTGCTCGCTCTGAACACGTTGAGTTTGTTAATAAAAATTTCATTAAAAATTTACGAAATATGAAATAGATTAAAACAAATTCGAAATTCGGCTGTCCAGATGCCCATGTTCGGGTGGAGGATTACATTATTCAAAATTTGATGGCTCTAGATACTGTCGTTTTTGTCACAGTGCAAGAAACATATATGTATTCATACAAATTCTTCATTATTTAATTACTTTACATATAATACATTGCGATAATATTTGGTAACAACAATTTGCAAGGAGACACGGACACATATAGTAAAACAGCGCAAAATGCCGCTTCGAAACTAACAGCCTTTCTAGGCTACCGCCGCTTTGGTCTAAAAAAATTAAATTTACAGTAAATAATAATAAAAAAAAAAAAAAAAAAAAAAAATATGCCGATCTAAAAATAAATTACAAAAAAATAATCATTATAAAATACGAGCAAAATTAATTATTACGGTTAAATACAATTTAATATAGAATTAAATGTATAAAAATTTTTAAGGTGTCAAAAGTGTTTCACTATGATGTATTATGAAATAGAATTGAAATAAATTTCTTTATAGAAATTGCGCTATAATACTCATCTATAATTTTAAAAAAAGCAGCACAATTTAGAATTTTAAACAAAACTTTCAAAAATTCGTTTTTAAATATTTTAGTACTTTTTACTTATTTACACCAATAAAAAACACAAGAATTGCAAGAGAAAATTGCTTGTTTGAAATTTTCTATTATTTCAGATTTAAAATATTATTTTCTAAAAGAAGTAGTTACAAATTTCCTTATAGCATAGGAAAAGTTAAAAAAAATATCCGGCCCTGAAAGCATGCTATAGCTTTATAATTATTTGGAACGTTAATTATGCTTGATAAATATGTTAAATTTTTAAAAATCAATCTCAATTTCAAAAATAAAAATATGTAGAAATTCAAATTTGTCAAATGAGGCGCTACAACCAGCTTTTTCTTGACAATTATAAACGCTGCAATAGGCAACCAGTGTTAAATTTCTGTAAGTCGTCTGTAGTCGTCCGGATATGATCAAGTTGACAGCCGGGAAAGCCTCAGACGAGGGAGAAAACCCGTTTGGGTTAGTCTATTTCTTATAAGGTCCATGGTGACGTGTTAGTGACGTCATAGAGCATGCGCAGTAGCTATCGCTTTAAAAATGCGCCAACCTTATAAGAAAGTATTTTACTGATCTTGTATTATAACTCATAATGCACAAACTTTATATCATTTAAAGAATAGAATTATCTAATCGTTGTCACATGTTCTATTCAAATACTATGATAAAGCTAGAATGATGTATAAAAGAAATTAAGCAAACAAAACAAAAAAGAAGCAGTTTTTCACAGACGATTGAGTATTTCTCATTAATTAATTCAGTTCTCACTTCGCGAGAAGGCAAAAATACATTAAAACTCAAAATATCTATATTAAAAATTACGAAGTAAATCTCAAACACTTATTTCCTCGAAAAAATTCCAGAAAGAATTAAGCATGATTTAATTAGCAATAATAAATGAGTGTGTTATCGTTGTTGTTGCGAAGCTAAGTTTCTCTAGATTGGCAACAAATCCACTAGTCTCCTGTTTCAAATATAAACATCAATGGCCGCCATTAAAAAAAGGCTTAGCGGCACTTAGACAACTTTAAAATTGTTGATAATTCTAAAAATATTGCATACAGATTTACTAAAGACATAAAAAATCCTAACCAGAAAATAAAAACAACATAATACTATCATTTTCAAAGCAAAAAATGTACAATTTACAAACATATAAGAGTAAAGAAACTGAGATCACTGAGCCGGGTAACAGAGTGGATATTTATATAAATATATTTATATACGTTTGGTGCGGCCGACTGCAACCAAAATACGAGGTGCACATCTACATGTTATAGCAGTCCTATATACAAAATTTCAACGTTCTGAGGCTACTCGTTTTTGAGTTATGCGAGTTACGTACGTACGTACGTTCTTACAGACGCCACGAAAAATTCTCTTTAGAATTAATTTTAAAGGAGTTTTATAATTTTTTTGAAGGAACGAGTATTTTATTCTGTCCTTACGTACAGATATCGTGCAAAAACATCGTTAAATTGCATTCGATAGCGGTCAAAATGGATATTTTCGTTGAAATATGCTGCCTGAAATTTTCGCGATTACAATACTTCCTTTTTACTTCGTACAAGGGAGTAAAATGAAGGAAAGGGCATATTGATGACCAAAACTCGAGAAACTAAGCAATGGACGTTTCGATCGTCTAAAAAGAGAAATCCGTATTTTTTTCGTTTTTAAAAACCACAAATTATTTTCTTACGAGCAGATAAAAAATAAGGTACAGTTAGGCTTTTGAAACTCTTTTTTGCTTCATTTACTTACGTTATGTTAATTTGTACATTATGTATTCAAATGCATTATGTTTTTTCCAATTACTCTTAGTTATTTTTACAGTAAATGAGTTATTACAGTAACTACAGTAAATGAGAAAATAAATAATTAATATGCAAGTATAAACGTATAGCTAATTGAAATACGATATAAGAGATTACTGTGAAAAAATATGAACGGAATGCAAAATCTATAATATGAAGTTTTGAAAATATTTTGAATCCATTAAAAATTAGGAACTGTTGCAAAAATGCTAAAATATATTTTGACAAGTGAAATATTCCTTTTCATACTATATTACTATAACGTTAACTTTTGTAAAGGTTGGGTAGCATACACTCTTATAAGACTTGAGCGCTATGTCATGAATGCAACACAAAAACACAGGAAAGGTGTAAAAGACCGTTTTATTCAGAACTCAAACAATTGAACAGAATGCCCTTTTTGCGTTTACAAAACCAGCCAACATTTATGGCGTAAATCATGAAGTTAGGAATTTCAAACTAAACTAAGCTAAATCTTAAATTAGCCCAAACGTTACACAGAACATAGAGCGCAAGTTGCCTCGAACCTACGTCAGCATGACGAGTATAATTGATAAGAATAAAGCAGACTGCTAACGCAGAATATGAAGTAGTAACGTGGCGTTCAGCAGGCGGAACAAGCTCTGTCTAATCAAGGAAAAACTTCTCTTTAAATAGTATACATTTCTACTTCATTTGAATACGCGCGAACTAATGTTAGCAGTCTGGCGGGAAAACGGAAAAGGAAACGTGACGTTAGAGATGCATAATATAAAGTAACTATAGTTAATTAAAATAAACAAATAGTTTACAATATTTCAGATGTAATCTGTCAGTGTCATCATCCAAAAATAATATGAATAAATTTTAGAAATGCAGCTGGACAAAAGCTAAATTTTCTTGCAATGACTTTTGTGTTTCCTTTCATATTCCTTGCATTAAAAACACTAACAAAAAATACCCGGCTTTTGTAAAATTCATTTATTTATATAGATTTAATAGATCTGTATAAATATTAAATACTTTACATTTTATAACGCACTGGGTTTCCATAAATCTGGACATATCTTAAAAAATTACGAATGCTCAGCAAATGAAAGTAAAAGAATGCAGTTTGCACATAAAATTATCACAGAAGTGAAATGTTTCTTACATTAAGCTATACTTTAGATTACATTTCACCAATAGATAAGAGCTGTTATTATTACATATCTGAATGGAATGAGAAAGTTAAGATTGGACAATATTTATTTATTTATATTATGGAGCATATTACAATTCGTTTAGTAATGGAGAAGTCCATCATGAACTTTAATTTGTACATTTTCAATTTAAAGCTTTAAACTTGAACTTCGTTAATGGTGTTTATATATTGCTAATGGTAAAATCCATATTATGGGTGAAACACTGTTTCTTATGAAAACAAAATTGCCACGGTAATAAAAGTCATCATATCAAACCGCCCTGTTATACGCCAATTTCTTGATTTCATATGACTTTTAAAACGTTTCCAGATTTATAGAACCTGCTGCAAATGGTTTAGTAATATTTTCCAGTAGAAAAATATATACTGTATTAGAATTAAGAATAAATTAAACTTGAAGTTTTTCATTATCATGATGTTGGATTTATTCTTTCATAAATTTCAGAATTCTGAAAAGTAAGTTTTGCACGTAAAATGTTTCATTTATCAAAAAGTAATGCATTTTCAAAATTAAATACATGTTAAGTATATTTCTATTTGCATTAACCATTAAAAATCTTTTAAACATTTACAGTGGTGGGAAAAAGTTGTGTTCTGACACGTTATGCAGATGACAGGTTCCTTGGTAAGTTCCATGCATTTTTTTTTTTTTTCATATTCTCTACTAGAGTCTTTAATCGGAAGTTTTTTCCTGTCCTTTTATTTTTTACAGAAGTAGTGAAGATTTTATTTAATACTGTAAATATGCGCCACGATAGTCTAGCATATTTTGCTGTTAAGGAAGCTCGACGTTACTCCAATATTGTGCTCACAATCAAGAATAATCACCACGCAGTTTTAAGAGATTTTCAACCTATAAACAAACAATTATGGGAATAAAACGTTAATAATTAGCAAATGTAATATATCTGTGGGCGGAAATATTATGATATCAACATAAATGGAGATCTCTTTCAAGAGTGAAAGAATATCCATCTTAGAATCATCCATATTATTCACATGCGATATACACACACACATCATTTCATAGCATAATAATGTAGCGGAATAAGGCAGAGCTGGTGATAGAAAGTTGATGCGTGCACCATTAGTTGGTATAGGAGGCATTAAGTGCACATGCAAGAGTATTACATATTTCGCACACACTACAATGTATATGCACTACAATTTATATGCGGAGCAGAAGATGTAGTGAAAAAATTATGTGCTGGATTTAAAACTGAGATAGCTCCATCTCGATCCACTTCTTTAAATGTCAATAACGAATTGCAAATGAAATGTTACGCCCTTTTCTGCAAATTTGATCCCTATAAACTGGTGAATTTGTGCTATTTTAAGTTTCATTGTACTACGTCTCTTAAGAGCGGCTATACGTTGCTACACTTTGTCCTTTGTTGCCATTTATCTCTGGCAGCTGCTTCAAAGGAATGTTATTGGTTCGACATACTAAACAATTCCAACATAAAGCTTTTCTTGGTCTACGTTGGGACCGTGCCGTCTTTAAGTACTTTTGCATCACTTCATCCTGATATATGTACTATAATATGAAGGATAAAGGCCATTTGGAAAATAGTACAACATATCTAACACTACCTGTTAGCTGTTAATCATGCTCGTACTCTGTATTAAACTACTCAAGCAACAGCCTGTGCCATGGGACACGTATACCTCTTGCTGTGAATGCGCTTTATCACACAGCGGCCAAGTAACTCGCAGATACTTTACATTTGCTTGGCCTTGGATGCAAATATTGCAGACATTAGGTTAAGTTATACGAATATAGCAAAGCACACGAAGGCTATCTGTCTTATCGGTGGACGCGCTTACCGCTTTAAGGGCACTATTCTAGGAGTTGAAGGTGATTGCGACAATTGTTTTATTCAAACCTTTGATCATCTTTTAAAATTTCATGGCGATTTTTGTGAAAAGTTTGATAGTTTTACTTTGTTCATGAAGATGGGAGGAATTCCAAATGGATCTCAAATCTCAAATCTTTCACATAAGAATTACAATAAAAAGAAAAAAGTCAAATATTTAACTTAGTATTAAAAATTTTTAATGAAAGTAAAATTTGTTATATTCATTTGATGAAAAACAAATCTGAAATCCGCTTTTTAAAAACATGCATATAGTTATTAAAAAGACACTGATGAAATGTAATGAATGGAGGGTGAAAATTCTTGAAGTTAATTTTCCTAATAAATTTGTATGTCTGTATAAATACGTGTTCACATGACTCTTCCATTTTACACTTTTTCTAAAATCTTTTTTCAATTAAAGCGAATATGGAAAAGAGAGAACTATTGTAAGATTCAACATTGGTAAATACTATCGGTTCATGCAATATTTCAAGTCAAAATTGCTACAATTGTCGCGGTGTCCGCCGATAACATCGCGGACGAAAACGTCGCAGAGAAAGCAACCCAAGGCGAAAACTTTTTTTTTTTTTTTTTTTTTTTTTTAAGGTTAGAATGCGTAAATAGCGCAAAGGTTCGAGCTTTCGATTCCTGAAACATTTTTTGAAATTCAATGGGATAGGAAGATTCGAATATTCCGCCCCAAATGTTATCATTACCCCGTAACTCTAACTTTTCCCTTAACCTGTTTTAACGTAGTCCATATATTGCAATGTAATACTAACACTATTATGTTTTATTTTTGTGCTTTATGTTCGGATTTTTTATAAATTTATAAAAATTTCATAAATCTATAATATAATATACGAATTGCTTAAGGAGTTTAAAATGTATCTAAAGTCTCGGTATATTTTTTGAGATAAAAAGAAACACAGATTCAAAACATTTGAGAACCAGAGGTATACAATTTCGTAGATTTAATTTCATTGAGAATGTTTGAAAACTTTCGACCCATTTGACCTTCCATACAAGAAATGAAATCTATAACGTCATCTGTTCCTGATAAAATGCATAATGGAGAAGTAAAACAACAAGAATCAGCGTAACATTTGTAAAATTTCAAGGACTAGTTTCGATGGTTTAAATACCAAACCATCTTCCCTCAGCTGCCTAAGCGCAAATGAACGAAATAAGATATGGATATAAGAAAAGATAATAATGGCTGGACAGAAGTTAAGCTACTGAATCCATCTACGGATGAAATAAGAAAACTGAACCATATTTTCCTTAAAGTCTGAAGCTAAAGATGGCTTGGAATTATGGTTGTTAACTAGAACAGAAATATTTTTGAATGAGAAACGCCTCTAGAAAATCTAATTCACCAACGGAGGATGTTTTTTAAATAATATTGGCTTAAATGGAAAGTGTGTTTTCGGACCAACAGTGCTGAGCAATAGAACACTTACGTGTTTCCTTTTTCCTAATATATGCCTTATGATCTTTAAAGCAAAATTTTAAGTCTGTCTTAGATTCACCAATGTAAATTAAACCACAATGGCAAGGAATCCTGTAAATACCCCGGGAATTCATATCCGGAATGAAGTCTTTAAGTATGGAAATGGAAATTTTATTGATAGAAAAAAAAAGACCCCAAAGTTAAATTTCTGTGAAATAGTGCAATTTTATAACTAATCGATGGAAAGAAAGGAATGCAACTGAATTCTTATAATCTCCTAAGATTTCGTGTCTTTTGATATGATGAGATGAGAATTTTTTAACTGTTTAGTTAATAATGTTGGGCGAAAATTCCCTGTCAATAGCAGCTGTTTTTAAATAATTTAGTTCTTGATCAAGAACCAGTTTGGAGGAGCAAACTTGAAGTGCACGGAAAACAAAGGGATAAATTGAAACTAACTTCTGTTTAGTTGGGTGACATGATTTAAAGTGTGGTGGAAGACAAACCTACAAAAGTTTACGGCAAGCAGTAGTACTGAAGTTGGCTATGTTACTTGTGATCAAAATGACGAAGAACGGAAGAGAATTGGATGTCTCAAGTTTAAAAGTGACCTGAATAACAGGATCAATAGAATTCATTACTGAAAACACTTTATTTAAATCCTTTTTCTTTCCGTCAAACAGGGCAAAATTACTACGTAGCGAATCCGTACTGGGACTACGTAGCGAAACCGTACTGGGAATTTTAAAGTTTGAAATAATTTTGATTCATAATAATGTATGTAGGTGTCAACAAGAATGGGACTAAGAGCCATGGGAAGCCCTCTTGCAAATACTTCGGACGACAAATGGCCTTCAAAAACAAATTAAATTCAGGAATCGAAATTTCACTGTACATTTTTATTACTGAAATATACATCGCGCTGTAGAAATTGCTTCCGGTAGTTTACACCTACACTTCATTTGTAAGTGCTAAAGATTTGAAAGAAATATGATTAATCTCATTATGGGAAAATATCTTTCTCCACTTCGCTCTTTTCAGTTTGATATTTAGAACATTGTTTAGCTCTTCAGATGAGTTTTTATTATCCACTTCTCTGAGTACGAATTTTTTTTTGGTATACGAATTTAGGAATCTTTTCACCAGTCAGTCTTTTTGTGAACCTCGCGAATACTCTGAATGAATCAGAGAACATATTTCTCAAAAACGAAACAAATGGTGTTTCACATGATTACTTTTTAATCCCATAATGAGATAATTCACTAAAAGAATCCCAAAGAGCATCTTCTAGACCACATGCAGAGACACTAGAAAAATTCACCTCTGCTGTATTTACGAAATCCAGGAGCATATACAGAATGCGAGACATTTTTCGGGACATAATCTGAAGTAAGGCTTTGCAATGAAATGGGAACTACTCCGACAACTGTAGATATTTATATATTTACATAGCATGAAGCATATTACTATTTTTAGGACAGACCAGTCAATACTAAACCAAAAAGAAGGTTTAGTATTGACTGGTCATTAAGCCGACAATGAGTTTAGCATTGGGAAGAGCTAAACTCATTGTCGGCTTAATGTCATGTCCGCTAACTGTCCGTGACGGCGAAGTGTCCAGTCGGCTAAGTGTCCAGTCGGCTAAGTGTCGTGTCGGCTGACTGTCCTAGTCGGCTAAACGTCCTGTCGGCTAAACGTCCTGTCGGCTAGGTGTCTGTGTCGGCTGGATGTCCTGTCGGCTAAACGTCATGTCGGCTAGGTGTCTGTGTCGGCTGGATGTCCTGTCGGCTGGGTGTCCGTGTCGGCTGGGTTTCTGTGTCGGCTGAGTGTCCCTTTCGGCTGAATGTCTTATCTGCTAGCTGGTGTCGCTTAAGTGTGTCGTCGGCGCTATGTGTCCGCGACCGCTGGAAGTCACTTCTTTGAAGAAGTATGAACCGAGAACCTATTGTATATTAAAATTAGGATTTTATTTAATACATATACACTTGAAAATTTTCTGAATGTAGTATTGTGAAACAATGAAAATTCTACCAATAAAGTATTTTTTTATCCTTTATAGAGACAGTTGCTCCAACGATAGGTGTAGACTACAGACCTGTGTACAGAGAATTACGAGGACAGTTGACAAAACTCATGATATGGGACACAGCTGGCCAGGAGAAATTCAAATCCATAACTAAATCGTAAGAATTTGTTAAGTATTTATGTGCCACTGACTTTCTAAATTAACTTTTCTTATTTATGATATTTAGTTACTTGATATCAGTTATTCATATGATCTACATTTTTGGCTTTTAAAATTTTAGCGCGGGTTTCAAGATGAATAGCTAAATTTTCATGTAAAGAGAAATATATAGCATTTCTGAAAATAACTTATAAGGTATTTCTCTCGCCTTCCTAGCGTGCCTTCGTGGTGTAGTGGTTCTGCACGCTAGGCCAGTATTCAGAGGTCCGTGTTTCGATTCCTAGCGAAGGCGATTGCTCATTTTATCTCTCGGCTTCCAAAAAATCCAATGTCTCTACAGTGGCGCCCGAACTAAAAGGGTGTTGGATGAGGTTTCTCCACGCCCAAGATTTCGCGATTGGGTCCCCTAAAAACCCCAGCTACCATTTAAAAGGGGGATTATATAAGGTATTTCTCCCGCCTTCCTAGCGTGCCTTCGTGGTGTAGTGTTTAAGCACGCTGGACCGGTATTCCAGAAGTCCGTGGTTCGATTCCCGGCGAAGGCCGTTGCTCATTTTTCATCTTGCCTGCTTCCAAAATAAATAATGTCTCTACCAACTGAAAAAAAAGAATTTGAGGTGTTCTGAGGAGTATAAATGGGAACGTATGCAAGCACAAAATTTAATTTACGGCCTTCTAAAGCATATTCTAGCAGATTAAAAATTCGTTATGTTTTATTAAGTTAGCTGCAGGATATTTCCTGCTTTTAAATGCAAAAATCTTACAGATAGTTTAAAACAAATTTTTCAATTAAGATCCTTAAGTTATGATTTTTTGTGGATTATGCTAAATTTTAAAAGGAAGAGTATATCAAAATATTACATAATTGGGTTCATCTTACGCGAAAACATTATTTCTTACATACCAATTTTCAAAAAGACAATGTTCTATCCATGCAAATAAGCTTATCCACTCATGGTATGAAGAGTAGAAAGACAAGCAAAATACCTTCCTGGCATAGATCTCCTGCTTCAGTGACATCAAATCACTGTGTGCTATAGAATATAGTTATAAAACAAAATTTAAAAAAAAATTAAAATCTGCTTAAAAAATTAAAAATGCATTGGGGGGCAATCAAAATTGCAGCTATCTATAACGCTGCATTGTTGGAGGATAGAAGAATCCATAAAGCCGTTTCTTATTTGGTAAAAACACTTCGATGTTTCTAGCTTACTGATCCTCAAAACTTTGAGTAGAATGGTAAACAAATAAAGCATTAACTCAAAGCATGATGCAAAATTTTAAATGTAGTTACAGAAAATAGGCATTACGCCCCATTTTATCCAAGGCTTTGCTAGCTTAAAATTGTAATGATCCGGTTAAAGGTATAAATAGTAAGGATTTTGTTTATTGGATTGTTTTAACGATTGACTTCGACTTAATTGATTATAGCAAAGCACACTAGGCTATCTGAATGAGGGAAGGGATGCCTTTATGGAGGGCTTTCTAAAGGAAACTGACTAGTATACACGTCACATATGGGGAAAATCACGAAAACGCTTATGCAGACAGCCCCTTCTCATGGAATTGGAACCAGGTCAGAATAACCGATGTTCAGCGATTTTACCGCTTGGTCACTTGTGGGCCTTAACAATTGGCTTAGTGGAATAAATATGCGTTAAAAATGCTTAAAAGAAAGATTTTTAAACTTTATCCACCTTTTTCAATTTTTTAGATATAAATGTAAAGAAATGGATAGGATTTCACTCAAATAGGAAAAAAAAAAGCATAATTTAAATACTGATGATTATGGTTTGGTTTGGTTTATTTAATTATGGAAAAGTAACTAAGGGTTATCTTACTTAATCTTGTAAGGCAAGAGTATTGGCCACTTAAAGGAAGAAATAACCCTAGGAAAATTATACATGAATTCATTAAATGCTTTAAAGTAAAACCTAAAATAGAAGAGCAATTAATGGCATCTTTGCCTAAGGAAAGAGTCATAGTAAATCCATATTCTACCAATACCGGTCTAGACTTTGTTGCCGATTTTACATAAAATGCAAAAATCAACATAAAGATATTTTAAACAAAATTTATGAAGCAGTATATGTTTGTTTCTCCACTCGTGCAATACATTTAGAAATTCTCACTGATCTAACAGTTGAAGCTTTAATTGCGACTTTAAAACGATTTTATGCTCGCCGTGGCACTTGTTCTACAATATTCTCAGATAATGTTGCTAATTTCGTAGGCGCTAATTCAGAACTGAAAAAACAGTATCAGCTCGCTTCCAGCCCAGCTGCTTGTTTAGTGTCGCAGTCAGTTTCTTTGAAGTTTTTGCCTTATCTTTATTTTTGGTGGACTCTGGGAAGCAGGATTTAAGTACCGTATTTTCCGGCGTATAAGATGCACCGGCCTATAAGACGCACCCTCTTTTTTATACGCATTTTTGAAGGATGAAACTTTATTACTGATCATTATAATGAGTTTACAGTTTTTAATATAAGTATGCAAATACAAAATATTTTTCTGAAATATACCAATCTGGTCGGAAAAGAAAAATTTTTTAATCTTCTTTGTCAAAAACCCAGCAGACATTCATCAGCATCCAGCCTGTCCCATGTGTTCCATGTTCTTTAGCATACGAATTGATGGGTTTTATTGTATGCCTGTTTTTGTCCAATATTTATGAAACTGAAGGAAAGTTCGTTGAACCCAACTGTTGATTGTCGATGACAGTGCACGCATTCACTGACGCTACGTAACTGTAATATTCCCACACTCGGCAAGGCAAAACAAAAAAAAGTCACATGACTCGGATAGGGGGAAATTTCCAGAAATGAAATATCGACGTATAAGACGCACCCCGTTTTTCAGATCTATTTTCAAAGAAAAAAAAAAGCCGTCTTATATGCCGGCAAGTACGGTAATTTAAATATCTATCAGCTGAAAAGAACAATAGGGAATTTCAAATTAAGTCTTGCAGAATTCTTAACAGTCATCAACCAAGTTGAAGGTGTCGACCAGTCTTTCCATTATCGTCAGATCCAAATAATTTTGAGACATTAACACCTGCTTATTTCTTATTTGTTCGACCCATTTGTGCCATTCCTGAACTTGAATTAATTAATGTTTTGACGAATATAGACTTTCTAGATGGCAACAAGTTCAAAGATTTAACCAAATTATTTGGCAAAAATGGTCAAGAGATTATTTAAATAATGTCCAACAACATGGAAAATGGCAGTTTGAAAAGGGTAATATCGAAAAAGGATAGCCTTGTAGTGTTAAAAGATAAACCTCCCAGTTTGCGTTTGGTTAGTTGGTAGAATTCATGATTGTAATACTAGGGAAAGACGGGAAAATATGCGTTGTATTAGTAAAATCCCCTCATAGGATTTTTAAACGTAGCACTTCTAATGTAGGTTTATTATATTTCTAATGTATGTAACGCAGTATTTCTAATATATCTTAATTGTCAAAAAACATAAATAAAAACTTTAAAAAAGTATACAGTTAAATTTACTGTTCAGAATTAAGCATTTAATGTACCTCACATTTGATTTTTAAAATAATGAAGATTTTGTAAAATGAAAGATGTTTTATTTACAATACTTATTTTGATTCAGATTTTACCATGGAGCCCATGGTGCCCTTGTCGTGTACGACGTGACACAGAAACAAACCCTGTTAGATCTGAGGAAGTGGATAGCAGAAATAAAACACATATGCGGCGATGTACCTCTCGTCATGGGTAAATATGAAACATGAATTCCATGTGCATTTTATATTATTATAGTGATTTTTAATGAATCCAACAAGTGTCATTTCACAGATTCAGATAACAACAACAAAAAAAAAAAAAAAATTAAATAGTAATAGAAATGAAAACTTTGTTTATTACTTTTAAATCGCTTCGTATATTAATAACATACAAATGAGATTTGAAAGAAATATTAAATGTTTTACTCTTTATCGAATGACGACGCAGTCCCCTGTAGAAGATAAAAGTATTTTGGGCAGTGACGACACGCTTGTTTCGTTAGTTGATTAAATTAGATAAACAAATATTCGATTTTTTTCAATCTTTGAATTTTCTGATTTAATTTCAGACATAAAGATTTTACTCTTTGCTGAGTGAAACGCGTTGTTTTTAAATCTTAGAATATATTAATCAAATGACATTAAGTTTTCACAAGGCATAAAATAAAAAAATAATAATTTTTGAATTCTTTATTACTTTTATAATTAAATAAATAATTTAATTAAATAAATAATTTAATTAAATAAATAATTTATAAGAATTCAAAAATGGAGTTTAGATCTTATGCACAGAATGACGTAAATAATATAAAATGGTAAGATTTCTTATTAATTATATAACATTAGCATGAAAACCTAGCGACTCAGTAGCAAAATTTTCATGATTTAGGAGTTTAATATATTTAAAATAATAATTATTTTATGTTAATAGATAAGAGGATTGTTTAATTTGTAACTGTGTTTAACTTTAACGTGAAACTTCTTATTACCTTGTGAGACATTTATTTTTTTGGAAGCGAAAGGAAAAGCAACGCCTTCCGCTGGCATCGTAAACACGGCCTCGGCACGCGCTCATGGTGTAGATACCACACCACGAAGGATGCGGATGGGGAGAAATACCTTATATACCCCTCCTTTTTAAAAAGGGCGACTGGGTTTTTAGGAACCCAATCTCCAATCCTTGTGGGGGAATCCTCATTCCACACCCTTTTAGTTTCGGGCGCACTGTAAGACATTTGTATCTGACAGCAGGAAAGATGAAAAATTAGCATCGCCGGGAAACGAACCATGGACCTCTGGAATACGCGCCAGTATACACCACACTGAGGCATGGCTATGAAGGTGGGAAAATACCTTATAACTTCGCAACAGATGATTGACATTTAAATTGTTATTACAAAAGCTCTTGTTTATATTTAACCATTGTTATAGTAAAAAAAAAAAAAAAAAAAAAAAAAAAAAAAAAACAAAAAAAAAAAAAAAGAAAAAAAAAAAAAAAAAAAAAAAAAAAAAAAAAAAAAAAAAAAAAAAAAAAAAAAAAAAAAAAAAAAAAAAAAAAAAAAAAAAAAAAAAAAAAAAAAAAAAATTTAAGATTGTAATTTAAGTTATTTCTCTATCCCCATTAAACACATCTTTACGAAAGATTTTTTTCACTAATTAGAACTAGATATATAAATGAGGTTTGTAGATATAACAAGTGTTCAAAAAGAATCACTTAGAAATCTGAATATGCGAATGCTAATGAAAAATTCCTGAACATAGAATCTTAGATGAATTTTAATATGACAAGGCTACCAAATTTTTTACAAACTCAAATTAAAAGATGCTTAATATTCCACCTTCGATGAAAGGCATATGTTCTATACCGTAAGTCCAAATTCCTCCCACATTTTCCAGCATATCTGCTTTCATTCTCATCATTTCACCGCTTCCACTCTGTTGTTAAGCATATCTTCTATTTGGATAGTAACTGGAAGGAGAGGCACATAAATGGATCTTTTCTGAAATCCACAAGAAAGAAATCGCGCACTGAGAGATCCAGCGATCTAGAGATCAATATCAACCATGGACCTCTGGAATACGCGCCCAGTATGCAGACCACCACACCTCGAAGGCATGCTATGAAGGTGGGAGAAATACCTTATAACCTTAGCAAAAGATGATTGACATTTAATTGTTGATTAAAAAAGCTCTTGTTTATATTTAACCATTGTTAATAGTTTAATTTGCTTTAGATTTTGTTAATTTAAGTTATTTGACTCATAATCTACCATTAAACACATCTAAAATTAAGAAAGATTTTTTCACTAATTAGAACTAGATAATATAAAATGAGGTTTGTAGATATATACAGAGTGTTTCAAAAAGAATCACTAGATCTGAAATGCGAATGCTATGAAAAATTCTGAACATAGAATCTTAAGATTAATTTTATATTACAAGGCTAACCAAAATTTTTTTACAAACCAAATTAAAGATGCTTAATATGTCCACCTTCGGATGAAAGGCATATGTCTATACCGTAGTCAAATTCCTCCCACATTTTTCCAAGCATATCTGCTTTCACCGCTTCCACGCTGTTGTTAAGCATATCTTCTATTTGGATAATGTAACTGGAAGGAGAGGCACATAAATGGATCTTTTCTGAAATCCACAAGAAGAAATCGCACACTGAGAGATCCAGCGATCTTAGAGATCAATGATGTTTAACTGAATCGTCAGTCCGGAACGGCCGATCCATCCGTGAGGAATGCAATTGTTCAAAAAATTCTCGAACATCCAAGCTCCAGTGTCGTGGTGCTCCGTCCTGTTGGGAAATAAAACCATAAGAATCAACTTCAAAGGCGGGAAAATCCATTTTTCAAGCATATCACTCCACATTTTCATCTGGCATGTGGAGATAACCAGGTGATTTACTTTTACGCAGACAACTTTTATCCTGGAATTGTTCATACCATCGCCTAGTGCTCTGAGCGGTAGGTTGTTGAAGACCAGGGTATTGTCGACAAAAATCTGAATGAACAATTGTTAAGCGGAGCGTAGAACACAGTTCAATTGCACAGATTTCAATTGTACAGTCGCCATCTAGAGAAGCACTGAGGTGGCAGACGAAGGAAAAGTGATAAAGCTACCTCATCTTCAACTGCATGACATTTAAGATTTCCCTCCTTCTATTTAACACATTATTCGATCAAAGTGGCTTAAAAGCTGAACAGTTACGATTTTTATAAAAATCAGATGATTCTTTTTGAAAGACTGTATATTATTGCAAATCTTCAATTCTGAAAGCCTATTTTAATATATATATTTTCCTAGCCGGCAACAAATGTGACTCCACGTCAAAAGATCGAGTGCCTGATGAAGAGATACTGGCCTTCATCGATGAACTGGGTTTCTCAGACAGGCATTTCCTCGTAAGTGCAAGGACTGGAGAAAATATAAGCAAGGTAATTAGGACATTTTTATTACACCCCTCTTTGATTAATAACAAACAATAAACGGGAAAACAATGTTTGTAAAAAAGTAACTGTTAATAATTTCCTAATGTAACACTAACTAACGACTAATGTAACGCTAAACATATTGCAACATTTCCGAACGTTGCAACAATTTTATATCTATTCAAACTTGACTGATTTTGAGTGAAATTTGACATCCATGAAGAAATTTAAAATATTTATGTGCCTTAGCGCTTGTATATTCATTAGAAACATGTGAAATTAGTTTTATTCAATTATCTTTTGAAGTGAATGGTGACGGAGCTAAGTTAATAACACGAGAAAGATGCATTTTTTAACTTTAGATTACTTTAAGAGTGAGCGAATTTAGAAGGAGTAATTTACTTTAGGAAAAGCATTCGAACTTACAATTTACACTTTCTGATCTTACTTGCAATCTTATTGTAATCGACCAATAAGAAGATATGAATATTTCATATTATAGACGAAATTACAGAGGGAGAAAGCGCTCCTAAAATCGAAATGAATTCAATTGTTTGAGTACTGTTTTGCAGTGCTCAAATATAACACGATTTTAGATTAATACATTTTAAAATTAAAGCTGTTTATCAATTGCGGTTTATTATTCATGTGCGATTGTAATTCAAATCTTAGTGGTTTTAATTACGTGTTTTAGACTTAAAGAAAATTTTAAAGCCAATTTCCTAATTTTCCATTGTTTAAATCTCCATTTCTATTTTTAATTAATTCTCAATTAATATAGGCTATTATTTTGTCCGTTAATTTTTTATATCCATTTGTCAGGTATTTTCTAACGTCTGGATTCTTAACACTGCTCTAAATTCCTTTTAAATTGATAGTTTATTTTTATTACATCCCTCTTTTCTCATTTACATAATTTGAAATATACTTTGTTTTATCTGTTTTTATTCTTTTCAACTGTGGTATTTTAAATCAAGCATTTCAAAATGTGGGGCTGCATTTTGCACAGTATTCATTATTCATAGTTTAATTAACACAGCAGCTGCAACCTGACTTACATATTCCCGAAATATTAAAAAAAGCAATCAGTCAATCAAACATGTAAAAACATTAGTGATTAGCGAAGAAAATTGAGTGTACGTTATGGGCTACGTTTGCAGGATTGCCAGCTGCCAAATTTTATTTATTCCAAAGCAAATTATTATTTGTTTACAAATTCATTTTAATAGATACATTAATATATACGCATATTAATGTTAAATTTTAAAAATTAAGATAGTAAGAATTAGCCCAAGGAAATGATGGAACAGCAGTAAATTTTCAAAATCCTATAGGCATAAATTTTAGTAGGTCAGTTTTTCAAAAGAAGCAAATTTGCGAAACATCACATGAGCTGGCAACGCTACCCTGTACCTTCGCAGAAAATTAACCGATTGATTCTTCGGCCAGGTACTAAGAAAGAGTCAATTTCTTCAGAATAAGCACTTGAAAGTCATTTTCCCCCTCCTGGCTTGTCTGGGTAACCTCGGTGACTGAAACTGCGGAAGATTATCGAGTCTCTTAATTTTTTTTTTCCATTTCATTTCTATTTAGGATGTTTCGCTTCGCAGAAAGAGCACAAATGAAGGCTGGCTTGTACTACAGGCTTGTACATACGAGGTGCAGAAAATAAGTGGTATGCGGTGATGACGACATGCGTTATGAACATAAATAGAGGATAAAGACCCTAAAGTGTTTACTTTTTATAGTAACATACTATAATCAAATTGAAGGTGGCGATCTCAAAAACGGCAATGGGTAGCAGATATGGCTTCTGTTATATTACCAGTGGATTTAGAGCGAAAGAAGATATTTGCAAATTGAACATTAGGAACTTTGTATTCCAGACAGAATTAGCATAGTTACTGCCTGGTAAGCAATTTTATTTTTGCGGAACACTTGTACTTTTTCTTACTCAGTTCCAAACGTAATAGCAATTGAAACAGAGAATGCAAATATCTATTGGTGTGACAAATATAACAGTCAAAAATCTCATTACCTATTTCGATTCTCGCATATATTTCGATACGGGTCTGGCAACTTACACTCAGCTCTTATTGCAGAATGCAAAGACGGAGAAAAGCATATATCTAAGAATTATCATACACCCACGGATTCACCGTCATCAATCAGGACAGATCTGAAAGTGCACCGTTCCTCCGTTGCCAGTATTCTAGAATGACACGGGCCATTCCTAAATTATCTAAATCGTTTCTACTATCAAGACTACTATTTCTTCTAATCATTTTGACAAACGTGTTGGAGTCCTGAGTAAGAACCGGAAGTTTACTAAAATCTATGTCCTTTGAAATTGTGGAAGATATGACACAGACGGAAGGGTTTAATTACCCTTAATTTTTCACAGTTTACAGCTTTTCCCGCCCTTCGGTATACAAAGACCAGTACTTGTGGTCTGAAACATAAAAATAATAACTACAAACTAACTAAATTAAGTAAGAACTAAACTCAAATGCTTTACAAAGACTATTAACGCGAAGATTGGCCTTTCAATCTTTACGTATGTAGTACGCAGAATGTGGGAAAACTACAATGCGTCTTCAGTATCAAAAGGACAGAACGCCAGAGACGAACCCCGCCGTGGTACTATGCCGTCCAAGAATAGCGTCCGTACTCTGGAGACCATTCAGGGAGGGGGAGCGAGCCCCACCGGTCCTACCTGGGCTTCCACGAAGCATGTGACCAAAGAACGCTATGACGTGTTTTGAACGAAGACCCTTTTGGCCTTAAAGGCGAACAGCAACTGACTGAAAAACGTGCGTGAAGTAAGGTGGCGAGAAGTCTCTCTCCCTCTCTCTCTCACTAACTCCTTCTTGGCTAAAGGCCACAACTTAAATACTTAACAGTTTGCAAGCTCAATTTTCATACTAAAACTAAACGCGCTTATTCTGGCCAGAAGTGGAAAATACGAGGGGGCAAAAAAGTTTTTAAAAAAATAAACTTTAGTAAAACTTAAATTTCTTACATACGTGACAGTTGAATTATAAAAATGTGGTCATGCTAGACATCCCCAGTCATTCCATTTTTTGCTATGTCTTAACTAAACAATGGTCTATAATAAGAAGGTTCAACAGTACATTTTTTTTCAATGGCGGGTTCTAGCCATTTTATAGACGTAAAGAGGTTATCACACATGGCTACAGTCCCTGCTAGACGGGACTTTTCTGAGAAACGAGATTCTAGTAGCACTGGTTTAAACGGGAGGATTCCTAGAAAAAAGAGCCCTGCCTGAAGCGAAGTCCCACCTAGCTACGGCAGTAATGTTGCGGCTACGCGGGATTTTTTCAAACCTCACCGAAAATGTCTCGGCTGGACCTCAGCCGACCTAATTTATATAATTTTTTTTCAGAAAAAAGCACATTAAATTTTGTTTGAATTGAAATGTACGATTCATCTTACTTCCTTTAAATTTGTACAAATAATTACAGTGAAATGATAGGACATAAGAAATTGGGAAGACAGTTGGATGAATAACACTATTTTATATGTGTTTGTATAATCATGTTAACATGATTATATTTCCCACGGTATTTCTCAAGAATCAACTAATCGTGTTAAAAGAGTATTTCTTAAAGTTAATGCAAATATAAACATAAAAAGAGGTTCTGAACCCTGGCCCTTACAGTATTTTATATCGACTTTTTAGCACCAGAGGCGGGATTAGCCTCGAAATATTTTTTGTTCGTATATCACTTTTCAAATTCTTCACACCAAATGTTATAACAATGTATTACTTAAAGTTAAAAAAAAAAAAAAAAAAAAAAAAAAAAAACTTGAAAGGTTTCAGATTTTAACGGGTTTGTTAAAGTTCTCTGACTTCGCAGTCTGCTTAGTCTGCTTTTGCACTCACTGCTGCTAACCTATTGGTTTTGCCTTTTTAGCTTCAATATTAAGCATCATTTTCTTCACACTTACGCCAAACAATTCAACAGCAAAATCACAATTTTATTATTTTATTTAACAAAGTTTAGATTTCCCGATTTGGCATACATTTTTATATTTTTTCACACTTTTTCAGTTTATCATGTTAGTGTTTAGTTCTCTTAGTAAGATGGCTAGAAAATGTTTGTCTTTATTAACGTTTTGTGTGTTTAAATTTATTATTAATAATCACGATCTTTGCACTTACGCCAAAAAAAATTTATTTAACTTCAAAACACTAAGTATTTAAAACTAAGTATTTAAAAACAGCCTATTTTAAGAATTTTCGATAGGCAATCTCGCACGCTCGACATAAAAATGTTTCATTCCGTACAGGTTGGGACTGCTCGCTTTCAAATCTTTAAGTTTGTTAATCAAAAATTCATTAAAGTTTTACAAAAAACCAATTTGATATCGATATTCAAAATTTGGGCTTCCGTGTGCACATGTTCGAGTAGGAGAATTACATTTTTCAAATTTGGATGGTTCTAGCTACCGTCATTTCTTTACGTTGAGAAAAAAAACATTAATTAAATTAATATTATTAATTATTATACATTCATGCAAATTCTTCATTATTTAATTTCTTTCAAAATAATGCAGGGCGATAATATTTGGTGGCAACAATTTGAAGAGTTATACCCCGGATATAGTGATTTAATGCAAAATCCCTTTTCGAGATTAAAAGCACATTTGGGTTAGCGCCCCTTTTGATATAATAATGAAGAATCTGTATATATATTCCTCGCACTTTGAAAGAAAACGATAGGATTGGATTGGATTATTTAATTATGGCAAAGCACATGAGGACTATCTGCCTAAAGGGAGGGATGCCTTCGTGGAGGACTTTCTAAGGTAACTGGCTCGTATACACGTTACACATGGGGAAAACCACGAAAACGCCCATGCAGCCAGCCCGTTCGCGAGATTCGAACCTCGGACCGAACTACCAGTGTTCGGCGTCTTTAACGCTCGGCCGCTGGTGGGCGAAAAAACGATAGAACCTAGAATTACTGAATTTTTAAAACACGTGCTCCTCCATTCAAAACATGGGCACCTCGACTCCCGAATTTTGAATTTGTTTTTAATTGATTTCCTACTTTGTACAAATTTAGAGAATTTCTGTTTAACAAACTCATAAATATGGAGGTGATAAGTACCAACACTGTTCGAAATAAAACATTTTTATTTCCAACGCACCAGACTGTTGGCATTCGATAAAATATAATTGTAATTTTAATTTACAAATTCGGCTACTTGAAAGCAATGTATTGCCTCTGTCTCAAATAAGATACGTATTATCTCCAAGCACTTAGCGTGCTGCCAATTCGATGTAGCGTAAGATATTTGACTTCAAAATGTCTCTTTGTTACTGAGTAGAAAACGCAGTGATTGAAAAGCAATAAACGCAGTTCTTAAAAAATATTTTTCTACTTTTTAATCTGATTGAGATAAATAGAAATGCATTTAAATCATCAGATCTCTAAATGAAATATTAAATATTTTTACGAAATAACACTAACTGGAATCTCAAAGAAATACTAAAGGGAATATAAAAGAAAATGCATGGCAACCCCTAACACTCTATCCGGAATCCTAAGGATAAGCTTTTTTTTAATATTTTGGAATTTAGATTTTGAATCGCGTATGGTGTGAGAGGAAAGCATAATAATAAAGCTAAGGTTTTATTATTAAGCTTTTAATGCTTAAAATAAAGCTAAAGGAAGAAAACAAATTGTGTCCAGTTTATCATGGCAGATGTGAGTCCAAGAGCAGACTGGGAACTTGCAATGTTCAGCGAGAGTATTAAAAAAAAAAAAAAATAACAAAAAAAAATGCTCTAACGCCACCTTAAAATCTGAATACTTTCAGATTTTCTTTCTTCCTTTTTTATTCTCTAATAACATTATTTTATTTAACATCGTTTTATAGAGATTAATTAATACGAATTAATTAGGGATTAATTAATGCTAATCAAATAATTATTAAATTCGTAATAAAATTAATTACATTTTCTTTTCCTTTCAGGCCTTCGAAGCTCTTACGGGTCTACTGATGGACAATATGCAAGTGTTCAGCGTATCAGAAGAAAATAGAATTGCCCTTTGTGCTCGTAAGAAGAGATCGAGGAATTGTGCATGCTAATCCTTCCGCAAGATGCCTTGTTTTTAACAATGGTCATTAAAGTATTTTCAAAAGAACCTATTTCATCTCGGTAGAAAACACTGAAAAATGAACTTTCGTGTGAATCAGTACATTAATTTTAAATCATTTAAAGTCATGAAATATGTATACACATTCTCAAGTGGAGTATTCTGTGTTGAAACCTCACCTCAATTAAGAGAACAACAAGATTCGAAATTTCTGTAAATATGAACATTAATTTAATTTGAAGTTCAAATTAAATAGATGAAATGTATTTGTATTCGAGGCAACCGTAAAAATATTTTTCTTCTTTTAAAACATGACGATTCTTTTGATAATTTCTTGTCATCTCTACCTTTATAGAACTCATAAAAAGTAATTCATTTGCAAAGTACAGTAGAACTCCAGTTATTCGAATCAAATGGGACGAACCCTATTCGGATAATTGGATTTTTTCCGAAGGAAGGATCTACGTACACTTTTGTTAATTACTGCATGTACTGTACGTTGAAAATAAAAGTAAAAACTATTTTTAAAGAAAAAAAGGTTTTAATTAATTAAAAAAAGTCAACATGTTTACCTATGTATTAGATAGCTTACTCTATAGTACTTAAAAGGGCTGAAAATCATTGCTTGCTGAACATCTCGGTCAAAGTAAACTGTTTGACAGACACCGTGCCTGCACTTAAAATTTCTTAGCCAGGGGTTACATGCTTTAAAGGATGATCAGCCAAGCTTCTGAGCTAAGATCTTAACTTTTCCACACAGAATTGAATCCAAAATTGGGTTTTCCATACAACGCTGCTGCAAGAACCACTTGAAAACGCCATCTAAATTTTTGTTTGTTGCTGTCTTCATTGATTTTCTTGAAGAACTCCCATCTCCGCTTTCAACCAGTGACACGAATTTGAAAGTGTAGGTTTTTGCTCCTTTTAATGTCTGAAATCGTTGATTGTCCAACACTACGTTTTAGTCGTAATTTTTTTCCTTAAATTCTGAAAGAGAATCGGATAGTTGGAGTTTGGATAATTGAAGTTCTACTGTATGTACGGAATAGCTTACATTTTACATTTCTTCAAAAGAACTTTGAATCCATCTTGACACATACAAATATCACTCTATGTAAAGAACTAAGGGATCTGTTACTGTACTAGATTCTTGGGGACAGATTGAGTTGCAATTTCTAAATATAAATTTGTTGCCAAATTTGCTGTTTTTCTTAAGGAGTAAACTGAAAAGATTTCGCGTTACTCATACATCATTTTCCAGACAGTCCCTTGCTGAGAAGACATTCTGGCAACTGTCTTCTGCACATATTTTGCTTATTGAAATTTTCTGGATGTGGCTTCCTGCACTAATCTATGCTACCATCTATATTTTCTCTTCGAGGTCTTAACTTCCGTGAATTTAACTCAATGATCTAACTCCAGTGCAAGATGTGCAATAGCTAACTTCTGAGATAGTAATAATGACATGTACAGCTTGTGTTCCTTCAATCTATTTCTGACGACTCTGCCGTCTGTCCAATGTACACTAACCCACATTCATGCAATGCCTTGCATATGCTGTGGCCTTCCTTTACATCCACTTTATCTTTCACTTGTCTTAATCTTGATTTCATTGTACTGAGTGAACTCAAGTGGTGTTCAGTTGAACATTCTTTGGCATTTCAGCTTATTCGTCTCTAATGTTTTTGGCATGCGGTAGATACTTCTCTACCCTGTGCTAACAATGTTTCAGATGAATTTTCTAAAATGCTAAAGACATTTCTACCGAACACCACTTTATTTCTCTCAGTACAATGAAATCAAGATTGAGACAAGTGAAAAATAAAGTGGATGTAAAGGAAGGCCACAGCATAGGCAAGGCATTGCATGAATGTGTATTAGTGTACATTGGACAGACGAGAAGAGTCGTGAGAAATAGATCGAAGAAAACATGAGTTGCGCATGCCATTATTACAATCTCAGATGTTAGCTATTGCACAGCTTGCACTGGAGTTCGATCATCGAATTAAACTCACTTAAGTTAAAACCTCGAAGAGAAAAGATAAATGGTAGTCTAGATTAGTGCAGGAAGCCAGGTAGCGGATGTTGTAAATCGAAAAAAGAGGGGGGGTGCAATGTTAGTATATGAAAAAAAGAATATTCAAAAAAATATTTTTTAAATTGTCGTAACAAAAAACTAGAATTGTGGTAAATTCCAGTAGAACGCTTGCAGTATTGGAGTGGCAAGAAAATAATGTATACGGTTCATGTAGAAAAAATAATAATTTAACCACTCAAAAGGCATGGATAAAATTTCTTACCTAATATAAAGAACCTCTTTATTGTAGCCAACAAGTCCGTATTAAAATGAGAATTGCGTTTCATCGTGTTTTTGTTATTTATTTTATAACCTGATATAAAAAATGTAAAAATATAGTTTATTGATGGAATTTGAAGTAAATGTAATTACTCAGAATGGCTAATAAACGCACTCTGCAACAGTTTAAAATGTGTAATTACTATAATGTTTTAACAAATTTCCTGATTTCTTTGCGTAAAATAATTGCTAACTTAGATTTGTATGCATATACAGACAAATTCGGCAGATTGGAAATGAGAAAAATTCTAAAATATATCAATAAGAGATTTATATTAATAAAAATGATCTGCAAATTACGTCTAAAAATGTGGGATTCCACACATGTATGCATATTATTATACTAAGTAATAGAAATTAATGCACACATAAATGACCGCAATTATTTCTATGCGAAAGATACGTTAATGTATAATTAAAATCAAGCAGTTCAAGTATTTACACTAAATGTTTGTTCAATGTCGCCAACTTTAATCCTCCAAACGTCTAAGGGCTTGTTCCAGAAAACTTAAAGTTCCCCAAAATAATAAAATGGTATTTTTTTAATTAAAATTCCAAATGACCCTCTCACTTTGTAAATGAATATATTTTTTTCTAATCCCCCCATATATACAATATATATACTTTTTCAATATGCTGCGCAGTTTCCAAGAAGTATGTCTGTACACATTAAAATGTACAACAAATACTTTTGTTGTTGTTATTGTTGTGATTGGAAGTCGCTTGTCTTATATTAGAAACAAGCCCACGAAATTCATCACGGCAATGACTACAAGATATGCCTTTCGTTGGTTAGAGCCTTGGACACAATATAGGTGATAGTTTCCAAATACCTTTTGACCATATATGGCTTATCAGCTTGGATAAAAGAGAAAATTAATAGCTTTTTAACTCTGCAGAAAAATCCGAAGGTGAACCAGATATTTATTTCGAAAAGCAAGATTACAATTTTTATTTCACAGGAATAGGCTTTTAGATAACTTTTCTCTCATCATAGCGAAACTCTCTACTCAAAAGACGTATAATTTTGTTGTACTCGAGTATATGAAAAGTTTTCAATGAAAGGAAGATGATAGAATCTTGACCTTTTGATTATTATGAACAATTAATGGGTTTAAAAACCGACTATGCAAAATCCATTCAATATCTTAACATTTAGTGCTGCTTGTGGGTAATATTTAACAAACGCGTCTTGTTAATTTTGCTTCAAAACAACGGAAAAATTCATATACGTCGCAAATGATTGCCGCTAGATATCCAACAAGCAAATAAGATAAACAGTAATCTCATAATAAAAACGTCTTTATTTCTTTGCTATTGTTGTCATTACGACTGCAATTATATTGTAGAACATTAAACCATGTACACTGCTGGCCACCGTAAATGCAACACACTAAAGGAAGCATGCAAATAACATAAAATTTACAACATGCATTAGCGGAGGTGAGATATGCAAATGATTAGAATTTCAGGGCAGACGCACATCACGCGCGCCTGTGGCGTCACTTCAAAGCGTTATTTAAGGCTTGGAGTTTCGACGTTCAGTTCGGCAATTTGTTTTTTTGGTGGTTTAAAAAAAAAAAAAAACGGTCATTATTCTCGTGTAACAGCAATCATCGTTTGATCAAGTATCCGATCGACAGAGGAGGTATGGTCTCCGAGAGTGGAATTATCTTCAGGGAATCGGGTGTCGTGTGGACGAAACAACATGTAATGCGGATAGAGACGTGGATGCAGAAGGTATGAATACCGAGTGTCGATCGCATCCACCGCAGTGCAAACTTCACGTGATGACAGGACTTGTGCGCATGGCAGTGACGGATCAGTCAGTCACATCACGAACCATAGCACAGCACATTACTCTGTAACGCTCATCATGTCTGCGCGACCATTCACGCCGTTACGACAGTACCTCCTACATACAAAGCCACGGCACGGTGACACTACGTCACTAAAGTCGTCCTTATCTACAGACAGCATGGTTGCCACATGAAGCCACTTATCGTGTTATTCCCTTAAGACGAGAGAAAATGAAACGTAGTCCCCCCTTGCAGAAGGCTTATATCATTTGGTTTTAAATAAATAAATATGTATATCCGATTTGCCCTTCATCGACTGCATTTCCTAATTTCAAATACGTATCTTAACCTTTTCTTAAATAATTTTACACTTAAAACAATAGAACAGAAATTGATTTAACATACTTCAGATGGTGGTAATAAAATAACATGTTTAAGATCTGGCTGTTGCTGGTTTGTTTTTTGAATATATATTTTACTAAATATCCTCTACCTAAATATTGTTAAACTAATATTGTACTAAATATTGTTATCCCCTTGCTAAATATTGATGCCTTAATAAAAAGGCAACAATAATGCATAATGTTGATTAAAACTAAAAATCCCTAATCCTAAATTTATTAATCATGTTTTATTTTTGCGAATATCAGTTTTTAACAACATTTGCTATTTACACATATTTGTTTAGTAATTTTCCGGTTTGATCTTGTTCACCACTGTAGGATTGAATTTCGTAACATATAAAAACCTGGAGTATGATT